TCAGACATGCGCAAGGCAGGCATGATTCCTGCAGAGGCGCACGCACGAGAGAGGGAGAGAGAAAGAGAGAAGGGTTTTAATACTCAATCAACCAGTGAGTTTCCATGAGCATACTTACACTAACTTGAGCATGATGATCTATTTCACTAGCTTGTTTAAGTTTTGCTGAAGTATCCTTCACTAATTGCCCAATATGAAGCCTTGTTTTGTGCCTGTATATTAAAAACATTCAGCATGCAAGCCCTCAAAATAGTGAATAATAAACAATAATAAAAATTATATGACGCTCTTTGGGGCTAACAAGTTGCGCACAAAAGAAAAGAAAAAGGCCTTGACCCAAAACACAGACTAAAAATGTGCTGAACTAAAAGAAAAGGAGAGAGAGAGAGAGAGAGAGAAAGAAAGAGAGAAAACATGCTAACTGATATCCACGGTTACTTCACGAGAATACTAATATCGAAAGAAAATGGGGAAAAAGAAAAAGAAAAAGAAGCACACGATCAACTTGAAGGAGAACACGACCAACAAATTGCCATCCCAAAAGCAGAAATTCTATTTTGTGTCCCAATTACCAATGAATTCTACCATTCGACCTTACCTAATGGAATACTCCTATATCACCTAATAATAACTTAAGCCCACAGGCTTCTTTTCAGTACCCAATTTCAAAGCAAACTCTCTCGTTTTCACGCAAACAACCAGTTCCATAAACTCTATCGAGCAATTTTCTCAAAAAAAAATAAAATAAAATAAACTCTATCGAGCAAGACAATAAGGGAAATAAACATTGCCAATTTGCTGTGAAATCGATCTCAAAATTATCATACTTAAACTACAGGGATTCGAAAATTAAGATATAATCCTTGCTTCAAACCTAAGAAACGACACTGACACGAAAGAATTATAGCAAATAAAGCAACGACTCTCGATCATCAATCAGAACTATAAAAAATAAATCTTTAAAGAAGGAAATCGAAAGCGAAGAGACTCACAGCTTCTCACGAAGCTCCGGCGTGTCTTTGGGCGTGCCGAGGGTATTGACGAGTCGCTGGAACGTAGAGACAGCAGTGTTGATCTGGAAAATTCCGGAGCGACCGCCTGCGTTGGGTCCTGCTTGCCGTTGATCAAATCCCGCCTTGAAGCCAACGGCCTCCCTGCCTCAAGATCTTGAAAGCTCATACTTTATTTTTTTCTGAAATTTCTTGTTAAATTCTCCGCCCCCGCTCCTAATCCCCAAAATTTCTCGAGAAAAATCGAAGTGTTTTCTTGAGACAGGGACGGAAACCGGGAGTGCGGGATCGGAATTGGGGGTTTGATTAAAAGCCCAAACAGGAATCTAAGAACAAAGCAGATTTGAGGAGAAATTGAGAGAGAGAGAGAGAGGAAAAGAACGAGCATCGGGCGGTTTGGTTTTTATTTTTTGTTTTGTTTTGTTTTTTTTTTCCCCTTTATTTTCGATTATTTTTAGTTTGAA